CAAGTCCCAGACAGAGCTAGTTCCCTCAGTTTCCGGTGATTAACAGTACGACTGCACAGAGGCACTGCAAGCCTGAAAGGAGCTGCTGAGTGACAGGCCTACTCATGGCCAGTGATCAGTAAAAGCAGACATTCTGCGTGTTTCACATCCATCCCTCTGCGACTGCTGATCCTGCTGCTGAATTAACTCTATTAAGACTCTTCTGGCCAAATGTGTCCCAATTAAAAAATGGAACGCATGGTAGGGAATGACACAGAACAGCAATGGTAGCTTTCATGTGCAGTGAGGATGATTAAAATGCCCTGACCTTCTCGTCAAAAGGCCTCAGTCTCAGCTGCTTGGAGTGGCAGGGGATGTTTGTTGCTGCAACAAATTGACCCGGGCTCCTGTTCTTTATCACACACCCTGAGAAGCAGGCACCTAGGCTCCGCATTGACCACCTCTCAGCTAATTTGGGATAAATTGCCATGATTTGGGGAAATTTCTCTGTCTTTCCTTGATAAAAAACTTGAGAAAAGGGCCGGGTAGACTCATGATGTCAAGTTCTCATGGTCTGGTGGACCCAGGAGAGTAGCGTCAGTCATAGTTGCGCAACTCCTACTGGACGAGGCAACAGCGTTAGGAAGCAGGGCGGTGGTTATTTTTATTATTATTTTGATTTGAAACATTTGTGAATGGAATGCCCTTTTGGGAAGGAAGAAACAGAAGGTCAACAAGAACTTAGAATAGTTGCCCGCAATATGCTCTGACGCCGTCCACTCAGAGTACAGCGTTACCAGGTTCTAGTGTGACCCCAGACCTCAGAAGCTCAGCAGGGCTGGGTCTGGTCAGTACTCGAATAGCAGATTTCTGAAAAAAAAACCTTCTTTCCTGTTGCTACTGAAAATGGTGTTGATGGACCTGTAGGTAATGCTCTTTTTCCTGGAGCAGACTGTCCAAACCAGTGCCCCACCGCCTTTCCAAATCAATCATCTGAAGGTGATCCAAGCCTCGCAATGAAATGTTAAACCTGGATCCTAACTATTTATTTGGTCATTAAAGATCCCATTACAGTTTTCAAAAGCCATGGTTAAATTATACTCTGGGCATGTAAAGTCTTGCTTCTTTGTATCAATGTCCCTCTCAGATCTGGGCTCATGCCACTAAATTCCACCCGTTTGCAATTCAACCCGTGTTTAAATCCTGGAGAAAGGCCTTTCTGCATGCAGGACATAGTCAGCTCTGTAATCCAAAAATTAAATGCAAGCAATCAAACTACCAATGAACCAATAAACATTTAATTCCCATAAGAGGAAGAATAAAATAATGAAGTTGTTATGCATATTAAACCTATAATATACAATGCTATCATTCTGTAAAATACAATCACCCCTTTCTCTGCAAAGGGCACGCAACATTTTTCCTACATCAGATTTATATAGTCTTCACAACAGCTGTAATTGGATACCTCATGAAATCCAATATATAAACATACTGCATTTATGTATAACATTGGATATAATTGGACAGCTCACATATCTCTTATAATGTATGGCCTTCCACACATAAACATATATACGTATGATATTTATACGGGAACGTTTATTTGACATGTATAGGTACTTTCCCCGAAGTGCCCTATTAAATATATCCTTCTCAAGGATGAAATTATTGTTCAATGGGGGCAATCTCCCCCTGCAACAGGTGGCCTTTCTTTCAGATTAACTTTACATCCTAATGGCTGATTCTGTCCTGGACACGAAACTGATGAGCTATATTTCATCACCCTGCCTAATAAGGCACGACGCCACTGGGATTTTACAAGGCCTGCCAAAGCACCGCACTGTGGTACCTTCTCCTCTGACAAACCGCACCATGTCGGCTGGAGATAAAATTTTAGTACTCAAGGTAATATCTTGGATTGCTGCTGCCGCCACTGCTGCGGGCTATTGGCAACTCTGAGCAGCACACCCAGTCTCCCACTCCCCACCCCCACACCTGACCAATCCTCTTCACCAGCGTCCCCCCCAACCCCCCACCTCTGTCTATCCCAGCACACAGCTCCAGGACACAAATGCAGAAGTGTGTCCACTGTCCTTAATGGAAAAGGCACAGAAATGCCCCCACACCAAGACAGCGCTCGATTTTATAGCTATTAGATTGAAGTCTTAAAGGGGTCTGGTGGGGGGTCTGTCCTGCCTAGTATAAAACCATCCTGCTGCTCCAATAATCCTCAGTCCAAGCCTCATTTAGCACCGTAGTACAAAGCATGTGACTGGATCTGGCACTGCAGCTCTGGATTAGTTCTACAGAGCGCCAGACGACCCAGCAACAAGGACACTCTGAGAGTTTTTTCTGTCCATTTGGGTTGGGTCGTAGTGCCCTTGTCCTCGCCAGCAGACATAGATGGATGGGAAAATAAAAGAAAGCCTTTTTTTTTTTTCCTGGCTCCCACCTCATATTTTTTATGCTATAACCAAGCGCCACAGTCCTGATCTTCAAAACTCCTGCGTTCTGTCCTCAAGGCCTACTTTCCAAACACTGTTAGGAATGATATTCAAAGTTTAATATAGGGCTTGAGCTATTTCAGCAGTTAGGCAGGAGAAATGTCTATTTCAAGGGACATGATCACTCATGTTGTGAAAGACTTGGGGGCATTTATAAACAGCGGCCTGACTGCTCAGTTAGCTTCTGCTACAGCACGACTTTACAACCGAACATTCAGCTTCTTGATGTTTGTTTTTTTTTTCTTTTCAGTCCTGGTGTCTGTGTGATTGTAGGACCGACTTTACTGATAAATGACCCGGGCGACATCGACCAGTTCTCATTGGATTAAAAAAACAAAACAAACGAATCCTGTACCTATGCACTGCAAGAAAAGACAGGAATCAGGAGAGAACTGAAAAAAAAAGAGTTGTCTGGAAACCAAGGTAGCCAAGACACACATGAGGCAGCCCTCAGGAAACTTCTGTATCCATCATTTTAATCATAACAGCATCACCCGCCAGACGGCGAGCAGAAGAATCGTTTTCACAAAAGCACGACGTTACAGACGTAAAGTGCAAGAGATGGGGCTCCATATCGCCCCTGTTGCTTTTGGAATAAATACTTCTGCAGTCTCCCTGTCCCTCAAGGTATATATAAACTATGATATATGGTTAGGGATTACCACATAGTTGAACAGCAGGGCTTCTCACAAACGAAAACACCAAAGGATTGTGACTGATGAATTTATAGCGTGCTTTTCAAAAACCTTCGCTCCCGAGCGCAATTTCCTCCAGAAGAAAAGAAGCTGGAGCCAACAGTAATTATGTATTTATTATAGATTTCACTAAGACGTGTCTCGTACATTTTGCAACGAGGCAAAAAAAAAAAACCCTTTGAAAGTTGCCCCGTGAGACAGTTTTCGGCGTCATTTTTGTGTCCGCCGTTTGTAAAAGTTGGAGACAATCGCCAAGAATTTGTCTACGAAAACCTGGGACACTAATGAAAGAAATTTTGCCTGGCAATAAATCATTTGACCACTTTCTAAGGTCTACTGGGCGTTATCACTGAACATTGAGGCAGACGTGCGAAGAAATGGCTTGCTTCCAGAACATACAATGATTATATTCTCCACGAAGGGAAATATAGAAGGCATGAAGGGATTTTCTTTACTTCATTCTTTTTAATTCTGGTCTGGTTTTAGTGTGATCCTTCATTGAAGTACAATTACACCTAAACGTGGCTCTAAAGGCCTGCATCACGTTTTAAACAGTGGTAAGGGGAATCCGTCTTCGTGAACGGGGTTATCCCTCAGCCTGTGAAAGTCGTGGCAAAGAAATCATTTGTGATTGTTATTTGTTCACGGGCAGACCAACGTTTTAAAGGCCAAGCGTTCTCATCCATGGGGGTTTTATCACGAGGTTATTCATTCCATTATAAAGGCCAGTTCCCATCGAGACAGAAGGGTATTCTTAATTCGTCTTGGAGATATACTGTAAAAAAATAAATAAATAAAAAATAAAGTCGTTTCGCAGACAGAGGCCGCTCAGATAGGGGCGACCCGCGGCTATTCTGTAGCCTGAGTAGGTATCGTTTGAAAAGCCCGCTCCACCCCCTGCTTGATGAACGAGCCCTGTGCTGTGCCTATCGGCAGCTGAGCTCTCCCGCTCCTTCGCGGCCATGGAAGAAGAAGAAAGAGAAATTGCGAGTCAGCGACCCCCGTGGACGGGTCCGTCCACGAACACGCAGCGTGCCGAGGCGGGCATTTGAAAAAAGAAGCGGACGAACAGTCCCTCTGACGATTGGTCAAAGCGCTCAGCAGAGCTCAGATGCGCTGCTTAAGGAGGGCAACCAGCGCGATTTCAACGTTGCTTTTATTTAAAAATACGTTAGGAACAACAAAAGAACAATTAAAAAAAATATATTATTCAAGAATTGTAGTAGAAGCGGTAATAGTAGCACCGACATCTCTTTAGATTATCTACTGCTTGTAAGCACGTTGGGGATCTTCAGAAGACTGTATTTAAATTCCGGTGTTCGAGCAACATTGATTTTATGGTAATTTAGAAAAGACGTGTTTTTTTTGTTAATTGAGAAAAGGCTTTTATAACCAAGGGCCGTATTTTAAATCGCCATTCTAACACTTATAAAACCAAGTAGCGCAGTACTGCTTAACACGTGGGTAACGCTTTACAGAACTAAACTTCTAGACCACTTATTAAAGACAACAGCATCTAGAAATAATTTGCAGAACTGCACAAAAAGATTTGGAGGGTTCGTAAATCGGGTTTCGGCACCAATCTCTGGCGAGTGTGGCGATCTGGTCCTGCGAAATCTGCGTTCATGTAAAAACATTTCAGATTCTCCATTTCCAGAGCCTCCTTAAAATCGCAAGATCTTGCAAGGGATTCCCTTGTACTTCTGCGAGCCGGGAATACCTTCGGCTGTTCCAATAAAACACCCCCCCCCCCCCCCCCCCCCCTCTCCGCCTCAAGCGTCTCTATTGGGGGAACAACCCCCCCCTCCCTCCTCTCCACTCCGGGCTTGACCGAAAGGCAACTTGCCTCGCAGACTAACGGAGGCGAGGTGAGAGTGCGACGGTAGAGTAACAGAGAAACTAGGCACATGCAGGACATACGATGATGAACACGACTTCCCATCCGCAGGACCGAGGGCATCCCGAGGTCCAGTCGAGATGCGTGCGCTTTCTCGCCAGGGGAAAGCTGAAAGGAGTCCTTGTGCAGAAGAGCTGGTGGGGAGCGGAGGCGGAGGAGGATGTGGGGGGGGGAGGGGAGCTGAAGGATAAAACCCACGCCGTTAGGAAAGCTACGACTTTCAAGGTATTTAATTTTACAAAAAGCTCTGGCACGTTGAATGGGGAGGGGGGGGGTCTGAATTTTCTGACTCAGGGGGTCGTGTCCCCCCGCCCGCCCTCCTCCTCCTCCTCCAATGCCTGCTGCCGTTTAATATAACTTGTAGCGAAAAGATGATGAAAGTCCGCTTCGGGCCGGCGAGTCTGGTTCGGAGACGGGAGGAGAACAGGCTCAGCGCGACACCATCTTTAATTCTCCTCTGACATCGGCACGACGGCGCGAGTTTCGAACAGGACGGTGCAGACGGGAGTGGGAGCTGATATCATATTCATGCAAACTGCGTCTTCTGGGGAGACCGCACGTCTCCGGGGCCGCTCGCGTCCAAATACACTACGAGGCGCAATAGCGAGGAAACAACAGCAACTGGGCGAAATTCTGAACGCCGGGGCCGGGGTGTGAGGTGGGGGGTTGCACAGAATTCTTCGCGATCTGATCTGGCTGTATCTCTCACTGGTGTTCGTGTTTTTTTTCTCTCTCTCCTTCCATCAGGCAGCTGAGCGAGGACGCGCTGAGAAGACAAACAGTCTCGTCTGGAGAAAAGCGTGAGGATATCCGTGAGAAGAGAGGGTCACTTTTATAAGAAAGGTGGGCCAGGGAGAAGCCTTCTCTCCCGTTCAGTTGTCGCTTTATTTTATGTGGTGAAAGAGCGTGCTTTAGTCGGTGTATAAATCACTATCCAGGCGCTGATGCAATAGATGTTATCTATCTGAACGACTGCTGCAAAGGCAATTCATGACTGAGGTTATACACACTGTGGTTTTAGCAATACACTTGTATTTACAATACTATCGGGCATAAAGTTATGTCACGCAAAACCTTTAGTTTTAATTGAGACTGTTATTGAACTCTTTTTGGAGATCTGCAGATTTGTGAAATGCCAAGGACTTTTTTTCAGGCGTTTTTTTGCTCGTGTAGAACTGTTTCCAGAGGATTTTGTATTCGGTAACTAGAACTCCGAGTCTTACACTAACGCTTATGTAATCCGGGTGCACCCTAATCCTGCGTTTTATTACGGTATTGAAAATGAAGGCCGCCAGGACTGAACGATACTTTTATTTCCCTCCCCCTGTTCTAAAATTGGTTAAAAAAAAACTCACCTGATCCGATGAGCACAATTTCAGCACGAAACGTTTAGTTAGGACACGCAGTTATGACGTCCAATTGTTCTTTATGGCCTAAATTATTCGGGGGAGATTTAATGTCTGACTTATTTTTGTGCGTGACGCAAGGTCTGGCGGTAATATTTTCTGTAGAGATGTGATGGCTTTTGGAGCGTTTTTGGTCCTTTTCATTTCCTGTTCAGAGGAGTAGCGTTACAATTTCGATAAACCCCAAAAGACAAAGCACAAACAAGGCATCACTTATGTTTGTATGTGCACCTACAAATATTTTGTAGCTGGTACGCTATTAGATATTTTTTGCTGATGTGTGATGTATTCAGCAAATATTGAGCATGTATAACTCTCTGTAATATATGTGTAACGATATCTTGGCATTGCCAAACGCAGATTTAAGCGGTACCGCACAGGATTAATGTACTTAACATTTTAGTTTGATTACGGGGATGACGTTTCTATAATGTTGTCACGACTTCCCTCATTTGTAGTTGTTTTTTCTAAAGGCGTCTGTTAAAAATGTTCAGTTATTACCCAATTTCACCGAACTGCTAGCGATATGAAATATGAATGCGTTTGTTTTAAGCAATAGGTTTAGTCGCGTGTAGTATCTAAAAATATATCGACTATGTTAACGCCACACCGTAGAATGTTTATAGAATTTCACAAAGGATAATAAAAATAATAACTTTTATTTGATCTCTATTTGCATTTTTGTTCTGAATTGCAGTGTTATGTATTTTAACTATTTTAGCTTGATTTAATTGTTTTCTAAAAATGCGCGAAATTCATAATGTATCTTTTATATTTGATCTCTGAAGGTTTAATGTAGTTACACAGTATAAGGTAGTGCTTAAGATAATATTTTAGAATTTACTCAAAGTTCTCATATTTAGACAATTGATAGTAATTTATTTTAGATTTTAATTGTATATATTTCAGCTGAGTTTATTTTATATTTAGGAATGCAGCCTGCGGTTGCATTTTGAAATGTAGGGCTAATCTTTAACTTCTGCAATTGACTTGAGGTTTTCGAAATTATACACGCAGGCATTTTTCAGATCACATAAATACACATTGTTAAAGTTTAAAAACGGGAACCCGGGGCTTGGGAAACGTGCAACGCAGTTGAATTCAGGAAATTTACCAATAGCTATTACATGATTGAGTGCTTCAGTGGATCCATCACGTATATTTTATTGTCGGCTCGTTTTAAGAAATGGGGAGGTTTGCTATGCATTTCAGTGCGTTTTCAAGTGCTTAGGTATCTCTTTCAGTGTGAGGCGAAATGCTGATATTTATCTGTAAATTACATAAGCAAAATGTTCATAGCTTCACAACTGACTTTACTCAAACTTGAATTTTTATTTTACTTTGCGCAGGCCTATCCAGGTTATTCCCCGAAATACAGCTTCTGAAAATATTCAGCTAGAGGACTCTTGCAGTTTTGGGAACTTGACAGTATTCGAAGGTACGTTCAAGCAGGCTGGTAAAGACGAGTTTCTTTTGTTTGAGGCGTGATACACCCGAAGGCCAGTCCTACGGCGGGTCGTTGTGGTTTCGAGTCTCGCTCTCGGTGGAGACCCTGCAGCACGGGCAGATCTGGGGACGCGCACGAGGGTAGAGGTTAGGGGGACAGCCAAGGTCAGAGGGGGCGCCGCGTGCGACGTCACATGACGGGGGGTGTAAAAGGCCCGGCTGATGGGAATCGGTTCACAGGATGAACGATAAAACAGCGCTTCGGCTCGCGTACTCGGCCTCACCTCAGATCGCCGTGAGACGCGAGAGTTGCAAAGACGTTAAAAAAACAACAGCGCCGCGAAATGAAAATTAACATAGAAAAGAAACATGTTTGAGTGGTTCTCCTGCCAAAATCCTCACGTAGATTAGTAAATCCATCCATTCTGGTTAAGCAAACGTAATTGATGCCACTCGCTCTCTGAAAGTGCAATGCACATATGCCTCTTAGCAAATGTAAAACTTCTTCGGGCCAATTTTCCACTGCATTATTTTAATAGTTTGATCCTATTTTACTTTTTTTTTAAAAAAAAAGACTTGCTGGGTTAAACATTTGATGCGTTAAAGGTTAGAAATACAGTTTGCGTCCCGACAGCATTACAGATGTCTCATGTATTTTATCATTTGAATCGTATTATTAACAGTCCTTATAGAAAAAGGGACTTGCAATCAAGCAGTGTTTCTTATTACTTCAAAATGTGTAATTTTAGCGAATTCCCGCAAAGGTATACATCCAATGTATTGTTAATTCTTCATTGGGGGAAGTTATGTATACTTTAAATTTTATTGTGCAACTCTTTCGAAGAGAAATCAAGAACGGGGCGTATTAATAGTTGGATCCTCTCGTGTAGACGATCTGTATAGTCGAGGTTTCTGTAACTTTCCCCCGCGGTTGTGAAGAGTCGAGGTCTCGCAGTTTTAGTACGAATTTCGACAGTGACCTCGAATCGAGTGATGGTTTGTGTCAAAAAAAAAGGGTCACGTGTCGTGTTTACGTTTCAAAGCTTTTACTACCTTGACAAAAATAACTCTGCACAAGAAAATAGTCATTTGTATATTATTTTAAAGTGCCCGTTTAAGAAGGCGTTAATGAAACAGTGGGATAGGTGTTCCCAGGTAGTACAGGATGGTATCAATTCAATTCACCAATTCAAAGGTGATCTGTATATTTAATGAACTGTAGGGTATGTGCGATTTCTACATCATTAACAGATAAGATAACGCATTTTTCTAAGCCACTGTGTGAACATATGGAAAATAAACTGGGAATGTTTGAGACTAAACAGAATTCCGTTAAAAGGCCTTTTATTGTGGGTTTATGTACCATAATTTTAGCATTTATATTCTGTTCTGAGACCTCAAAAGACATGACAGTCGTTTAGCCCCCTCTTCCAAGACGAAATACACGTTATAACCGAGCTTTTATGCTAATTTGTTTGCATTTTGACTAGTTTTTTTTAAGTAAACGTTCATCCTTAATTTATCTCAGTCTATGAAATTATGCAGTCTGCAAATCGCGTGAGACGCCTCAGCATTAATCATCGCAGGAATCTTCACAATGAAAACGCATTTGTATAAATATATAATTATCTGTTGGGTTGTAAGTTTCGGATTTTAAGAAGAAGAAAAAAAAACTCCAGCAGGTCTACAAATAAACACGTACGGGGATTTTTTTTTTAAAGGTTATTACATAAAGCAGTCAACAAATGTCCCAGTTTAATTGGCCGTTTTAACCAATCTCCTGCCAGTACCAAAACCTTTTTTTTTTCCCCAGACGTGAATGTGCTGTAATGTGGTTCCTAATTGATTTGAAGACTTAAAGAGTTACGGACTGGCTTGTACATGTGTCTTTCGGCTCACCTGTCTGTTTGCATTACCCCTCATCCCGCCTCGCGAGGGAGAGTCCGTACGAGGCAGCTCGAGCCAGCGGCCTGCGCGATTCGAACTCGCTACCTTGGCGCTGTAGCCCCCGAGGAGCAGAGGAACGCCTTGCTATGGGCGAGTGAGTGCAAACCCACGCTGTTCGTTCTGCTAACCACAAACGCGTTCTGCGTTCACCCCGTGTTGTTTTGTAGCATTATTGTAGTCTGTAATCAATATTGTATCCACTTAACACGGGTGTATTTTTATTTAATTCACTGCCGCGAGTGATACAAAAGCTTTAAAAAAAAAATCAGCCCGCACATAACGGTGTATATATTTTGCCCCCTTTCCAGAACAATGGTACGGGGGGGTTGGGGTTATAGAAGTACCACTTTTCCTGAACTTTAATCTGAAATGACTTCAACGGGGGAGCGAATTCTGAGTGCAAAATGACAGTAATATCAGTCTGTGCTTCCACACACACAAAAAAAACCACACACATTGAAATAAAAATATATTAAGGGAAAGGCAAATATTTGTTTAGAGTGTCTCGGGGTTTCCCACCTGAAAACAATTTAGACGCAGGCGAATAGTTCACCCTTTCCGATTTTCGATTTCTCATTATAATTTAGAAAACTCCCAGAGTGTTTCTGAAAACCGACACTGGTGAGGTGTTTGCAGCTGTATCGTCATGACGTTTGCTAACCGAATGTCTTGGCAGTCCAGATTTTAGGCGGAAAGATCAACCGCCGAGGTCAAGCTCCTACGTCGCAGTGCAATGACGTGTGTAAGTCCAAAGCAGGGGTGACGTTTGGCAAATTCAGTGCCATCGCGTACGTTTACGTCATGTCGTCGTTCAGCGCAGCTATAAGGGTTGTTGTCTTAATATTACTAAATAGTAACTAGGTTGTGAGGGTTAAAAACAACTAAAAGAACTGACAAAATTACAGGGTTACATTTTTGTAGTTACGCTCAGGACAGTTAAATCCTCAGCCTTCTGTCCGAAGGATCAGTGGAAATTCATGCCGGAGACAGGATTTCCTTTGTCTCCCACAGCTTCTCTTGATTGGGCCCTTAATGAGCTCAGAACACCGCCACGATCTCTCGACCGTTCGCTTTATTGTTTCAGTTTGGCGATTCTCTCTGAAGCGAATGATTCTGACCAAGCAAGACTAGTTTCTCGTCTCTTGTGTGCATTTTAGAACACGTTTTTTTTAGCCTTTGAATCGGTATTGGATGACCACGGAGTAAAATGAAATTCAAACGAGAGTTTGTTGACAGGTCATCTAAAAAAAAAAATCAAGTATATGCAACAGTTGGACCGTGTGCTGTAATGCAGTATTTCCTATTGCGAAGGTTAAAGCAGGCCAGTTATACCGAAGCGAGTAACCTAGACACCTAATACACGAGTTGTGCAAATGTTTCATTAATTAAATTACTTCTCTCCGCACTTACATTAAACGTCTTCACAAATGTCAGTGCATTTTATTCCAAAGCTTTGCACATCAAAGAACACTCACGCTACCAGTATATCTTTTTTGACGTCATCTTTTGAAATTGCGATCTCTATATACACATCTGCTTTCTCACGTGCCTTCCTAGATTAGACCGCCGTTTAGCCTATAAGCTTTAGTTTAATTAACGACGCCTTATGGTTTATTTTGTTGATAAAAAAATACTGTAAGGCTTTTTGAAAATAAAAAATGGAAATGCATCTAACTCACCTGAATACCATATATAAAATACATACGGCAGTTTCGTGATACTCAAGTGCTAGGGCAAAAACATTTTATTGACTTTGAAATAGTTAGAAACTGGTACTCACGCAACCTACTTCAAGATTCATAGTTCTAAATGACAGAAAATAGTTAGGTGCCACAATATGGCATTAAGGAGGCTATAACGACTTCGCACTATTGAATTTAAAATTTTAAAAGGCGCATTTTGAATCTTTTTATTTCTGTTGTTGTTTCTGAAATATAGAACCTGCACATGAAATGAGTGGCTCATTTTAAAGCCACACTAAACCAAACGTCAAAATTTATTTTAAATGTAAACGGAGAATATTTATTGCAGCTGAGATGTGTATTTAATGACAATTCAACAAGTTCTCCGCCATCTCTCTCAGACGCGACAGTAGGGTCCTGTTAAAATTGTCGCCTTGCCGTCAAGACTTGATTGTATTAATCCGTAAGAAACACGAAAGTCTTTTCATTCACGGAACTGGAACTAAAACGCGGAGTTTTTTTCACAATTTTTAAAACGGGAAACGTTTAGAATACTTTACCAGCAAATACTACACTTCAGATCGCAGAGTCTACATTCGAATCTGAAACAGAAAAGGATTCTAAAACGTTTTGAGATACGTCTGGATTATATTACCATCAATATCCCCCGTTTCTAACGGCAGGTGTAGATATTACAACCTTTTTATTTGCTGTTATCTTGCTGTCCGTGTGTTGTTTTCACTATCGCATAATGTCCTTTAGTTATGAATTTTCAACTTTTCAGTATACTGCTCCTCTGCTGTGTAACTTTTGCACTAGTTTTTTTTGGGGGGGTACATTTCGGCTACATTTAAATACAAATCTCATCGGTCAAATATGTAAGGTGAATCTGAAAAAAAATAATTAGTAATATCTAGGACGTATTTGTTTCCTGTTTTTAAAAGAGACATTTGTTTCTAAAATAGAAATCGATGTCTTTGAGAAATAACCCATTAGCTTGATGTAGTCTTTAGAACAATATTTTCAGAAGAGCATTTAAGAGTTACTCGCTATTAAAGCATGGCGTGAGAGTAATTGTGCATAAAACGACATTTGAATGGCGGCTTCTGGGTGGGCGATAGTTTAAAAAAAATTGCGTGAGGTGGCTACAACTTGATTTTTACCTGAGGACCCCTGATTAAAGCTTCGCTTAACTCGAAAAGTCCAAGTTACTTAAAACCAACGCGTGTTCTTTGAACAGGTAAAAAACAAGCCCCAACAATCAGTCAGTGGTAATGCGTGATAAATGGTTCCCGTTTTCCCTACAAAAGGCCAGGAGGGGACTGTTGTAGGTTCCCTTCAAGGGAAGGAGAAGAGGGACCGC